TATATAACCAGGTCTTGATTAATTTTGACCATACCGGAAGCCCTTGAACCTCAAGATACCCCAGTAGAGCTAGGCAATGGTGCAAAACAATCCTACCGATTTCCTTTAGCCTGTTTCTTTTCTAGACGAGACAAATCGCACGCTACACGTCTAGAAATGCTGATCCGGGATAAAGTTCTACCGCCGCGTACAAAAGACCATCAATATCGGCTGTCCAAACGAGATTCTTAGATATAGGAGTAATAGGGTGGGGTGGGGTTTCCTATTGTCATCCAGAGAAAAATCTCTTACGTAGATGCGTTTGCTTCTGTCTAGTTGTTGAAATAGCTGCTTCTTCATGTAGTGTTATTCAAAATTCGATTACAGGCGAATCTGGCTCGAACCTTTTTCATCCTTGAGACATACTTGAGGGTGCTTTCGCCCGCTCACCTACGCCACAGCCTAGTGTCCCATCTTTAAAACTTCAACAATCCTGAAAGAATGAATTTCAAAATTTTTCAGCCACCTTCCCAATTTAGGGCAATGCTTTAGGCCTAATACGCCATCTAAGAATCCAGTCATCCTCCGAACGATAGCCAAGGTCTAGGCGAATTGGAGAGAGGAAAAGCAATGAGAGTGAAACAAGAATAACACGAACGAATAGTAAAATCTGTGCATCAACGCCACAAACTTTTGCTGTTGTTTTTTGCGTCTCGCTGTTCGCTTGGCTCGATTTTTTCATCTCGTAACTTCTATGTTTTCCCATTCCGCTAGCAACGGCCGAATGAATATAGCAATGGTAACGTCAATAGGCACAAAAGTGGCAAAGCGATACGCACCAGAGACGGCAAACGCAATCCATTCTAGATGTGTTTCAGAGTTCGATAAGGCGCTAAGAATAGTACGGGTAGGATAAAAGTGACGTGTGGTCTTGACGATGGCGGAGACGACAGTATAACCGCGCTGAAATACCGACACGTACGAACAGGGGCGATGGGACCGACAGAATGGGGGTGCCCGGTCTTCCGGGATAAGTGTGGTAGCAAGGAACCCTCTTTTCAGCGACAACTCTCCCTATAGCCGCCTGCTGCCTCTAGGCTTCCACTGCTCACATGTCGACAGCATCAGTACTGGCTGAAAACGCTCTTTCTATAGTAGAAAGATCTCACAGTATATTCGTAACACCCGGATTTCCCATCTTGCTAGCAAAGAGCTATCGGGACGCAGGCGGAGCGGCGCATTGCAATCGCCTTTCTCTCCGTTCGTTTTTTCATACCCTTTCTGTCCGGCCTTCTCTGGCCTTGCTACCCTACTCTGCTTTCCTCTTCTTTTATCCTCTATCGAGCCTCAGAGTGGCCTGATAAAAAAGGTGAGGTGTCACGGCTCACCGGTGGGCTCCTGAAGTTCCCAATTTTTCCTCTCGCTTGCCCCTGTTTTTCTAGAAATGCTGCGAAAGTACGGTCGAGGAGTGTGTCGGTGCCTGAGCGAGACGGGCCTGAGGGTACACGTGCGGGACGGAAACCAAAAGAAAACGCCCAGCCCACGAGCCGAAATCCGGGCAAAAAGGAAGACGAAGCAGTTATGATGAATGAATTGAGCGAACCGGCAGCTGCGGTGGCAGCCATGGTGCTAGCAGCAACAGCGATGCCAGTACAGAGATGGCATACTAGCGGAAGAGACGATCGTCAGCACCTCATGGAGAATGCTTTACCCCCTATGCGTTCGTTCGTATGGATTTATTTCCGCCTTTTCGTTTGCCCATCGTAGTTGTCCTATCTCTTGTCGATGTGGATCTTGTAGAGTCCAGAGGTCTCTTCTTCTCATACTGTCATAGCCGACCCTCAGTGTCCTCTTCGACTCTTTATTGTACTCTTTCTTCCTACTATACCCTCGCTTCGGTCACAATGATGGAGGCCGGTGCCTTTCTGCTCCTTCTGTCTTTTCTTCTCGGTTTCTTCACGTTTATGCTCTCCATCGTTCGATCTCGTCGTCTTTTATCGCTCTTTCGTTCTCAGACTCTACTCAAACTTCTTCTTTCCGGCCTTCTCCGCTGTGGTTTCGGTCGTGCCCCGCGACACTCCCGTCATCAGCCATTACCGAGGGTCCGCACACAATCTTGCTCGTGCCCTTTGTCGTTGCGCACGGCGAAAACCTTGACACGCGCACGAGCCTAGTAGTGATTTATATTCCAGTTAAACATGCGAACGAATAAAACGTGAATACGAAACAGGCTGTTCTGGAATGGCGACGACCTTGCGAGACGAAGACGGGAGACTCGAGGCATATAGAAAGAGAAAAACTGAGACACAGACGCAGAGACACGGAGAAAGCAAAAATCCGGGGCAAAGTAGGAAGGGCCGAAAGACCGAGACAAATCCAAAGCTACAACTACGGTACGAACAACTTGACGAAACGGACCAAGAGGGTTAAAATATGATGGCAGGGGACACTGACGACGACGGTAAAAGAAACGAGAGGAAGGGGAGAGGAAAGTGAATTAAGTGAAGAGCACAATCGACAACACGGAAAGGACTAAAATAGGTAAAAATAGGTGGAAACAAGAGGAAGTGTAAAAAATGTTAGTAATTAATCTCGGACTACAATCGTTGTTACAACTAGCCGTATAGAGTTCACAAAACGTAGAGCGGAAACGTAACTCGTAGCTGGGGCTTAGCTTGCTATTACGCTAGGACAACTCATTATTGTGATTTATATTGTGTACGTATCACACATGTCGTGGTCCATTTTTTCGTGGTATTTTGTAATGACGGTGATATTGGAAGCTGCTTTGCCGTGAAAGATAGACGTCATAAATAACTACATAACATTATGATTAGGTAATACAGTTTTAGTTGTGCCGCTGGTCTTCCTCCTAGGAGACCTCCTAAATTTACAGCCTTGTTATTAAGAAATATCGTATTAATAATAAGAATCAGTACGTTTGAACATATGGATGAATGTTACGGTCCGTCGAAATAAATGACGCGGCGTACTCTGACGGAGTGATCGTACTCATTCAATTGCCACTTGCTTATTTTCTCACCTCGTATTTTTACGTATTTGACTAGTATGTTTTATACTTTTTGCTAATGCCATATGACATTGAAGTCGACTTGACGGAACGCATTGCTAAGCCAGTTGCTTCATTTTAAACCTGCCCTGTGATTTGTGGGCTGTTTCTACAACTGGTCATGGCACTGCCATAGTGATGTTAGGAGCACTTCGACACAACTTAGTTATGGCCTGTTTGAGACATCTACGCGTTCGCACAATGAACAATGACTACCTAATAAAATATCCTGATGAAAAATAAGGCAGTATAGTATTACATTTTAAAGCATTCAATTTATTCAACATATTACAAAATGTTTCACCCGCCATTATCGTCAGTCGTTGGATGGGTGTCCTGTTGCTGCTGTTGTGGCTTATTGTTGTCATATTTATTTTTATTTTCAACTATTCATTATCATCATCATTGCCATGTTTTTTTTAACTCCTGTTCGGTCATGTAAAATCGTTGAATTGGCAATTAGTCACTTTTTTGGGCTGGCACCGGACATCCGGCAACGTAAATCGTTCCTAACTGATTTTAATTTTACTGTCCTATCTTCGGTACATGGGCACAATTATTACCACATAAATACTCGATTATTCATAAATCGTACTTACCCGATTGTCGTTTGTTAATTTTTTTCATGTGTAGATTAAAATGGTTGGCCTCCATTAACGAAGTTTTATATAGTTTTGTTCGTTCGAACGATGCCAGTCCAACATAAATCTACCGCAGTAATTGTTCCTTAACGTAAATGATCCGTTGCTCAACGGCGACTTCATTTCCCGTTGAGCTTCGCATGTTCTAGTGGCTTTTTGTTTACCCCGCATGTTTGCCGTTTTCCTTTTGTTTTGTGCAGTCTAGGTACTCGCCCTTTCTGCAATTACCATTCGCGTGCCGTCATCTTTGTCGCTGCAGAGGCTTCTTGTCATTTTGTGTGGCAATTGTCGGCTACAAGAGGAAGAACATCGTAGGTGTTGTATTTTAGTATGAGCTGCGTCTGCAGAATTCAACTCCACAAGGAGACATGTAGGTCGGCGATTGGCGTATGATCATTTTGTTCCTTGTGCTCTTCTTATGAGGCAATAATTTTATCTTCAAATTTATTTTGTTTGTGAATATTTTATTAGAGTTATAATATTGCGTTTCTGTGTCGTCCGTTGAGAGGGCGGCAATAACGTCACCGTCGTTGATATTCGGTAATTTTTGTTATGATCGTTCGTAGACGACCTTTACGGATCTGCCACTGTCACTTACGATAACGTCACCGACTCCGATACTTTGCCTCTGAGACACGTACCGAAAGGTCTTCTTGTGAAGTCGATATTGGATGTTATCATAGTCAAACTTCATTGTTTCAATCGTAAACCCCGTCCCACACTCAGAAGTTGCAATATAATCGCTCATCCTTTTCTTTATTTCAATATTCATCGTCATCATTGTTACAGTCAGCTATGCAAAATCATCTCCGTGTTCCGCTAACTTGTCTCTCTCGTTCTCTATTTTTTAGTGATGTCTTCTGTTCCCCCCCAATATTTACAAAACATGTTGAGATACTACACAGTATTTACATAGATGTACAATTGCTATTCAATGGCGCATTGCGGTCTCTTGTGTATGCTGTTGGAAACATCTGTTGGTTTGTAGATGTATTACTATCGTCAATCCTGGGTATCTGCATGTTGTGTGAGTTATATGTAAACTATGTGTCATATTGTATGTGCTTACTAGATCACCCTGCTGTCTTTATGTTTGCTGAAGGGCATATATATTATATATATATATATATATTGGGTTGTTGAAAAAGTATTAACTGTTTTGCTTTACATTCAGATCCTAACGTAATATGAGTCATTTCGGGTCGGCGTTAGCGTTTTTGAAAGCCAAGATCTGGCGGTACTAGATGCGCCAAAGCTGTCAGAACGCCTTTACTCAGGTTTAAAACTAATCATTTGTAAAGCTTCGTTGTATTTTACATTTGTATTACGAAAAAGGGGCAAATGTTGTCCAAATCTACAAAAAATGGTTTATGATCAAGTTGCGTTATCGAAAGGAACGGCACAAAGATGGTTCTCTCACTTTAGTTCGGGACGTTTCGCTATAAAAGGTCGACCAATTACGGAAAAAAGTGAAATTGTAATAGAAATGGATACTTCCAAGGGACTAAACAGTCATCATTGAATAGTTAATCCATTTGAAAAAAACTTGGCTACACAAAAAAGCTCGATGCTTGGCTGCCACGCGAGTTTACGCGAAGTAAGTCACTCAATCATATTTCTATCTAAGGAACTCTATAGAAACGAAACAAAGTCGAGCCATTTTGAGGTGGCTGATCCGATATTAAAAAAAATAAAAAAGTAGATTACGTACGACAAATATTGTGCAAGTGAAAAGATGTACTACACGATTCGTGGCAAAGCTCAGAGTGACGCCAAACAAGGTAATGCTGTGTGCCTGATAGGAGTGCAAAAGAACTCTGCACTGTGAGCTTTTGCTGGCAAAACAATTGATTCGGACGTCCACGGTCAACAACTAAAAAAAATTATAACCACCAATTGGAAAAATTCTAATGAAGAAGAAAAAGCGTCATATTCCATCATGATATTGCCATACCTCAAAACTGGGAGAATTCGGAGCTAATTTCAATGCACCCGTCGTATGACCCGAATCTTACACCGTAAGACTATTACGTGTATCTTGGTCTCTAAGGTTCGCCTAATGGTAATAATTTAGTATTAATAGAAAAATACAAAAACCATTTGTCGCAATTTTCCGCCCGGAAATCACAGAACCTCTATAGTGAGTGATAAGATTACGATGTTACTAGAAAGAAAAAAAGAAGCAAGTCACCGATTAAAGTGGCGCTTACTAAGTTTTGTACTGTTAGCTTAAGCTATAAAAATGTTTGCTTCGATTTTTACTACAAACGGTGAATACTTGTTCGAGAACCCAATATATATGTTCAATCTCATTTTGGTTTATTATATCACCTCCTTCATTTTTTCATTACCACATCCAACGGCGGCTATGTGACGTTTTCGTCATTCTGTCTCTTTATTAAATACATTTATTAACGCGATCGTCGATTTCCATTTGTCCAAGATCAAAGATATCAATTCAGTTGAAGCGGCAGCAGAAATAACAACGAGCTTTGCGCTGCATAATAATTAACTTTTGCTGCAGGTTTTTTTTTTGCCGCTGAGCTCTTTTTGCTACGAGACTGTTGTATTAGTATACAGGCGCATATATTTTCACCAATTAGTCCTTCTAAGAGTATTCAATTTGTGTGCTTACCGTCAGTACACGCTGCACATCCGGCAGATCAGGTTCAACGACTCGGAGTTACCGTGAAAGGCATCTGCACAACAGTTTCATTGTTCTATAGGTGCCATTGTATACCATAATATCGAGAAGATAACTCAAAGAGGGTTTTCTGACTGAACTGTTGCCAACGCTATGTCTGTTGGCAAATGTGAAGATAACAGTGTTTTTGGCACTGTTACTTCTAATGCTATTAGACGTCATTTAGGCTGCTCTGTCTTAATTGATTCCTGACTGGTCCTTCGCTAATGGCATACCTCGACCCCGCTTTTGTTGCCTCTTCTCGTTACTACAGCTCTTCATGTTACTGCTGCTGCGTTCACGACTGTTTAAGTTCTTTACATCTGTAACTATGTTTCTCGCTACAGTCTATCTTGTTGTTGTTGTTGTTGTTGTTGTTGTGTCGTCTGCAATTACTGTCGTGTCTGCGGTGAAACTGGTGGGGGCATAATTGCGCTCTGCAGTTGGCTTCCGTTCGCCCCTCGTATCGGCACGGTAGAGTAACGGATGGGTCCGAACAGCGACAACTCGATGACCGGAACTTGGCCACCACCTGCGCTACTCCCCGATACAGATGTTACTTCCTTCCCTTCTATAGCCTTCTTTATCTTGTAATATCATCAACCTTTTTTTGTCATCATCCCTGCAAACAGATTCGACTGATTTCCTTCACTCATCTACTCGCACTAGTTCTATGCTACTTCTCGAGGCAACAAGCGGTTGTTCGGTCCTTAAGATTTCAGCTAGTCTAAACATTTTAATAGACAACAAAAAACATCTGCTGCTTATTTCTCATATTTAAGAAAGTCCAAAGTATTTTAAATACAAACGTTATCGTCATAAACAACGCTTGTATCGCTACTGTCGTTGCGGAGCCAGTCTTTGGCGGCAAAGTGGCTTGTGCATTAGCATTTAACTCTTAGTATATAGCTTTATTTTTCCCTTATTTTTTGGCGGCTTCTCTTAGCCTTCAGCATCATCAGTGGATTTCGAACAAAGGCGATTCGAACAACATCACAAACGTATGTGTTGGTGCCTGTCTGAGATTCCTGTCGTATTTGGGTATTTCTTTGGACGTGTGCAACTGGGCGTGCGTGTCTGTGTGTGTGTGTGTGTGTGTATATGTGTGTGTGTGTGTGTGTGTGTGTGTGTGTGTGTGTGTGTGTGTGTGTGTGTGTGTGACCTATTTGTATAGTGTATTCGTGCTGTACAACACGTGGCCCGGACTTCAGCGCGAGCACGTTTGTCGAGGGCTCAAAAAACGAAGCCACGAATTTGATTCAACCAGAGGCTGTCCAACACCGCATTGGAGTGCTGCTCGTGAATACGGACCACAAACTTGCTTTTGTAAAGAAGCTTACTTGCTTTAAATTCCATATACGTGAAACATTTATGACCTTGCTCAATTATAAATCTCATCGAGATGAGTTTGTTGTGCTTCGAGATGGGATTGTATAGCACCGTTGATGTACAACCTCATCAGCAAGGTTCCTCTAGCAATCAGGAACAACGCCTATCTTCCTGAATTTTTTTTATCATACAGACGATCCCGTAATTTCGACTTCTTAATATATCAAACAAAGGACGGACAAATCCGTCAAGACCACTAGTAGACAAAACTGTTAAATAGCTTGTCCCCACCTACCAGCAGACGTGCCATCCTAACCTAGAAGAAACTGTCTACCTGTGCACATCTACTCTGTTCTATGTTGTTTTGAAATTGTTCGGACTAAAACTCTCGATGCTGCTGCCCATCGCTGCTCACTTCCAACTGTCTCATATTTTTCATTATCGTTTTATGCCTTCTTATTGCGGTTATAAATGGCAATTGTGCCACCTGTTAGCTTTTTTTTACCATCATCGTTATCAGTGTCAATTGTTTCTTCTTCCTTTACTAATCAAATATTTCGCTCTACAGGTCTCATTTTGCATTCGTACACGCAAATGTTGCCGTTACGCTTTATCCTTCACGTCTCAGATACATACAATTCAGAAACACGTTCATTCACAAGCACGCATACACAGCTAGCAAATCCAGTCAGCACGCCGGTATCTCAGACATTCACCCACTTCATTCCGTCACTCACACGTTTGCACTGACGCACAAAAGAATAACATCGATTTTTGGCTTGGGGGCCCCCATTTTCTCGATGGCCGCCAACATTCGATATAGATTGACGTATGAGCGGCCATGTTCAGTTTAGCTGGCAATGATTACTATCATAATTAGTGCTATAATCTAGGCGTAAAGTGTGCTTATATCAAATACAAAAGCTCACTCACGCGACCACTTTACAGAGTATTATTGATAGAGAGAACAGACTTCTCTTGGCCATTATATAGCTAGAAGAAAAAAAAAAACGCAAATAATTTAATTCCCATCCTTGCTTGATTCACCTTCCACAGCTCCTCGATAGGACATAATAGGTTAAACATACTAACCTGACAAATATGCTCCATTCAACCTCAATGTTGTATCTTATAGCACTCTCTCTCACCCATGTGATACGCAGGTCCGTTGTACTGCCGCTGTTTTCTGATGGGCACAGTAATGATACATAATGTCCTTTTTTTGTTTTTTCCGCCTGGAGCCGTCTTGTTGACCTTCAGCGCTCGTTTGCTTCTGCGTCTGAATTGGCAAGGCGGCATTGAGCAGCTAGCTGAAATAGTGTCAGCGAGTACATGAAACTCGTGTAAACACGAATATGGACCATACGCTGGCGTACACACGGACCCAAAAGAGGACAATACAATGGATTTGTTCGAGATACGGCCACTGGAGAGGCTGAAAGCAAGTCAACGAACGAAAATCTCGTGTCGACCTCGGTATCTCGTGGACAGACCCAAAGGATTGACCTTTTACCGAAACCGCCGTCAAGACTTCGATAGTCAGGTAAGCATTTTTGCCATCCGCTATATTAAACTATATCAAGTATTTGCAACATATTGCTAGTTGCCGACTAAACCGAAGTAACCGACCGAATCATGTTGCAAAGTAACTGTATGTTAGATTGGCGATGACACGACGAAAATGTCGGGGCAATGGGTTGTTAGGTGTGACCAGTGCATCGTGTGTGGCAACAAAGGTCGCTTCCGTTACATTAATCTTTTTTTTTTTACCTTTTTGGCTAGACGAAAATTTAGCGGATAAACTGCATGACTTGTTGACAGCTTGTCTTTCCGAAACGTATTGAATTAAAGTAAAATACAATATATAAACCTGAGAGGACCAAACATGTCTCGCACTCTATATGCCTGGGGTGTCGTGAGCACCTGTAAACTCTAAGCAATAGCACACGCTGTCTTTTATTTATGAATTTCAAATGAGCATTACCAAATAGCTGGCTGTCAGTCTTTGAAGAATCCAGAGAATCAGTTGGTATTATGATCGCGAACCACCGCTGAAAGATATCTGACATTGCATTACTATTAATAAAGTTTATACAACTAAACACAGGTTCTTGTTATTGTCACATTCTTGCCGTAATAATTTTCTTCACCATAATTCGCATCACCTACATAACCAGTTTTGACATCCCTATGATTTATCAGATCAGTATCAACCCGTTATATCAAATGACTATGACGATTCAGCCAGAATTTCTTTGTTGTTCTGAACTACTACGATTATTTTCTTACTATACTCCGCGTTTGGCTGCTAGAAGTAGAGCTAGGCCTTAGGCTAGTCAGCTACATCAATATTGTTATCATAACCAGTTAGAAAGTGTAGGTGATCGTTCTATAACTCAGGGCTCGTTCCGTTTCTGTCTTGTATCTATCTCAAAACTAAAAATCAGATACACTATATTGTATTGTATCTGATTTTTAGTTCTGTGTGTAGTACTAGAGTTGTCTGTCTATTATTATTATTATCGCTTTGTCACTAACTATTACACTAAATGTCCGTCGTGTTCACTGATCCTTTGAGTGGCGGTCGCCAGTGGATTACTGTTAAATGAGGTCAGCTCGGCGTGCGGGTAGCTGATGTAGCCCACATTATACATGTCACCGCGTAGAGAGACTCCTACAGCGCCGGCAGGCGCTACTGGCCCTACCACACCGGGGGGCGCTGACCCAACGCCGTTCGCCGATGCCGAGGTGCGACCCGGTGGCGTGGGCGGTCCTGAGCCCGCCCGGAAGTATGGGTACTCAGCCTCCGAAAGACGCCGCTGTACTTCCGGTGCGTAGTGGACCCGATGATGATGGTGGCGTGCGGGAAGCGTCGCGTGGCGATCAGTTCCGCTCGCTGCTACCTGGGGCTTGGCACCGCCTGTCACGAGCGCTGCAAATGGGGAAGACATACGTACACAAGACACAAAATGTAAGACAGACACAGAACGGGGGCAGAGAAAACGGCACACATACACACACCACAACACATCAACGAATGATCAGCTTAGTTTTACAGTTGGGTGGGGAGTTTCTGACAGCGAGGAGAGTCGCCAATCACCTAAACGAAGGATCATCTAAAAGAACCATAAAGGGGACTGCCTCAGGCGATGTCAAATAACGAATTCGCTGAATAGAACTAGCCTCCCAATGCCGCTCCATTCGACAATATATACTATCGGGTAGAACCACTCTGGTGCGAGAGTCAGGTCAAACCAGTCAGCAGTAATAGCTAACTGACTGCACTTTTACAGCGTGGAACTTATCAAGTGCCCGCAGCAGTTGCGCTCAATCATTGCTATAAACTCTTCGCGGCAGCACTTTATACCATTACACTACTATTCTTACTCTGTCACGGCTAAACCCTATAGTTTTCGTACGATGAGAATAGCGAGATTACTGCAGATAGTGAAAGACCTGGCAATGTGCCTAGTGGCAGTTCGAGGTATAAGAGGGCAACAGTATCAACATAGAACTGGTAGAGCAGTCGTGCCGGTGATGAGTTGTAATCTACGAGGCGTAGCAGTGTTTGGCCTGTGGTGCGTGTGTCGAAATGCTTAGTTTTAGTTTCTTGTGAAGCTTCTGACAGAGTGGAACGAAGGAGCAAGATCGGTCTGCATGCGGATATATCATACTAGCTTGCTAGCGAAGCCCAGAGGCAATCGAGATATTATGCATTGTTGACCAAGTGAAATGCTTAGAGGAAAGTAGTCTTATGAGAAGAAGGTGATGGCTGCCTATCTCCCTTTCACTGGTGCTCCCGCCTTTTTTGGGAAGGGCAAAGCGACCGGAGCAGGCGCGATTAAAGTACTAGTTTTAGCCATACTATAACTATAACTTATGGAAGACGCTATATGTGTGTACAGATGCATGTCGTGCGACGAATTTGTTGCGGGTCTGCCCGTCTGTTCACAACGCTTAGCAAGTAGAAGAGACTATGTATAAACATGAAGGCATGTCATCGTCACGGGTTGACAGATGACACCTCATGCACGCTTTGCAAATCTGTTGGTGACAACTTACAGGAGTCATCGGGGTGGTGGAATGTGGGCAGCGTCGAGTGCGCCGCGGGCTGGTAGTGCAGATTGGTCTCGACGGTGTTCGCGGGTAACGAGGTCCCCTCGAGGATGAACGACGGCTTCGAAGTGGAGTCGTCGGAACAGCTGAAGTGTGCGGTATCACTCTTGTCTGACGTCGAACTTACTGTTTCGGCTACGGTCGCGTTCGTGTAGCTCGGAGGCGGAGCATACATTTCGATGGCCGCAGGCTTCGTGGCCGAATGTTCGCTTTCCTCTGCAATGCCAAAGCGAAGAGCAAAGAGACCCAACCCAAGGGGTCAAGGACACGTGAGACGCTGTCCAGACCGAGCGCCATGCGCACACATGCGAAGCAACAACAAGAACTACAGCTACTATTCTAGATAGGGAGCGTTTCAGTAATATAGTAAATAGCAGCGTCCGGACCCCCAATGGCAGCACCAGTGCTAGCTGCGATGACCGTGGCCGATGCCAGCTATATCCGCCTGCTCTACGGCCGACTGCTAGCTAGTCAGCAGGCTAATAGACTAGCTGATTGGACGGCGGGCCAGCCAGATACATGAACAACTAAATTGAATAATAATGCACACACACTCATATAGACACGCGCACACACACCCAAGCTCACAGAACGAAGAGGCCGCTCTCCTGAACAAACAACTTGTGCCATTACTGGTTGCAGCTGACTATCATATGCAGCCCGGCGCCCCACTGTCAACGCCATCATCAGCACCAGCAGCAGCAGCAGTGGTGGCATCAACATCATCAACGGAAACGCGTGCGAAGGTCAATGTAGGCTGGAGAGTGGCCTCTGTGCGACGTAATGTGAATCAAGAAAAGATCGGGTGGGGGTCGCATACCTGAATACGAATGATAGGTACCTTCGTCCTTCTGCCGCTTGCCCTTCTTCTTGCGGACGAAACAGATGACAAGAAGTATGTTGAGGAACAACAGTGAAGTTCCTACCACCGAGACTGACGTTATAATCATCTTGGGGATGTCCACTTTCGATATAGCCGATGGCAGTGACTGACCACTGGGCGGCAAGATTTCATCTGCAATGTAATTTTAAGCCATATTTTTACATTTAAATATTCAGATGCGGGAGGTGAGACGCCGTCTGGTGCACAAGAAATACAATGAAGCCACGTCTATTGACGTTTATACGGCAAACCTCATCATTGAGAAAGCCCGCAATATGTCTGTGCGTCAGCTGAACCATACCCTGAACGAAACAAGAACATTGGCAGACGCTGATAGCACGTCCTGTTATCGGTTCTACTAACATGGAGTTAATATGCGTGAATAAAGAAAGGTGGGTTTGCTGTTTTAAAACTCTTGGATTATTTGAGGGCTTTTGCAATGAGGGTTCGCTAAGTACACAATAACAGAAAGAACAGTTAGTCGCTCCGGTAGCCGCTCGTGTACGATATACAACTCGGCATAATAATCAAAGGTAGAAAATATTCTACAGCTCTTTTATTTCTCATTAGTGCTGAAATCCTCGTGCTAAGCCTCGTGCCTGGGAAAGTTTCCAGGTGACTACCGTATTACGAAGTGCTTTTTTCCAGTATAAACGTGAAGGCATGCAGGGTTCTGGGTGATTCTGCTCCGATTACGGCGTTCAGCCGGCTTTTGCCGACGACCCTTGTAGAGGTTTTGTTGTTCTTGATTTTCATATAAGGCTTCTCTTTGTATCGTTCGATTTTTTTTCTAGGGGGCAGGTACGGCGTTTGTTGACAATGAGGAGAATTAAGTGATCCAAGTTTCGAAGTATCACTGAGAAGTGTATGGACATAATCTTGGGATTTATTCAGCTCAGGTTAAATGACACCAGTTGAATTTAAGAAGGGAAATATTTGAAACTATTCCCGTTTAGCCGCCAAATATACACTGTTGATTGCTTTATGCAGGACCTACTCAATTAGGTCATGAATAAAGGAGTATTTGTCGTATATATTGGACACATTGGATTATACTGAATTGCGCAGAAAACCGAATGTTTAAGTGTCTGAACTTTCTTCATTTACGGATGCTTTTGAGTTTTTTTTTTAAAATGCACATTACCCAAAGGAGCACATAGCTAGCCATTCATTACACCTTTAGAATGGCTACGCGTCTTTGTACATGAACAAAATATATAGGGATAAAACTGCAGCAACAAACACTAAGCGAAAGTCTAGATAGACTATGTTGAGGGGTAAGAAAAGTTAATGAACAACGGGGTTACTACGCGATGCATTGATACTTAGATGGAAGACATTGGCCATCGGCGCCCCTTGATAGCTTTGCACATGGCGTAGCAGCCTTTTTTTTAATGGCTGGTCGCTCGAAGATAACGATGCGTTCCTCGCTGTGACAGGGAGAGGGCCGCGGAGTTTACAAGGTACCTAACAAACTGAAAGAGGTTCTAGACTATGTAGTCCAACTCATCTCGACTTTACTGGGGCAGGCTGAAGTGCATTCTGACAACGACTGTATCGACCAAAAGCGGTTGTCTCTAAGTCCTCTTATCCTCTCGATCACGGTCATTATTGCCCAATGGTGGCAGCCCGACCATTGAAATGATTTTGGTCTGCTCCATTGGGCCATAAAGAAGTTCCTTGGCTACGCGATGGCTTCACCGCAGCTGGTTATTCCGTCGGATCATCGAATCTCTACCAATCACACAAGGTTTGACCAGTAGGACATCACGTTAATGAGTGTGGCCGTGCGACCAGCACCACGAACAACAGCAACGACTGCAGTGACGCGGGATGAAACGATAGCCACGCAAACCGGGAAGAGGGTAAGGAGGATAACGAGGCTAAGGGAAGGGGTCGGGGGTTGCAACTAGACCGACTTCATTCGCCGTTTGGTTCAGTGAGTGAGTGGCGCCTCGAGGACTAAGTAGATGGATGGATGCGTGTATGTGTGTTTGATGGTGGCTCAATGAGTTGGTGCGGAAAAAGCCAATTCTTACGTCTCGAGGACGGCGCTTGCAAGGACAAGAATACTCTCGTCCATATCCCACGTGAAGGAGTCCTTTCTGCCTTAGTCTTAGTCACCTTTTTCGAAAAGAGCAAGCATTGTAACGCAGTCGACAGTTTATCTCCTAGTGATCTGCAAGATGCCGTTATTAGCCAACAGAAAACACCCGCACAGGCCATCATCGTTGACATCATCTGGTTATGTGCACCATCACAATAGACGACACAACGAGTGAGGGATACAGCATATATTCACATTCGTAGTTACGTATAAAGCTCGAAGGGGCAGCGCCTTGACATGCCTGTTGAAAACTTCTCATCTTAGACCTCCGTAGTAGTACTCTGAAAACTGCACCGAATCAATATTTATCTTGTTTCGATAGCCCAACACCTTAGACTACGGCTAAACGTGTCGCGACGATGTTAGCGAATGTAGACGACGATGTACAGGCCATCTAGATGCATAGCATCTAGATGGCCTGTTCTTAGTTGTTGTTGTATACGGAAAAATTGCTAAAACAAGCGGTGCTTGGCCAGTTAGTCAATAGATACAAAGTTGGATTCCTAGAAAACGTTGCGTTCCGGTATTCGTTTTACGCGTGTGTTACAGATGGAGCGAGAAGACGGCCCTTGGTAATATCGAAAAGAAAACATGAATTCCAACCGTGGATCTCGAACGAAAAGTCAACAGAACCTTATTAATATTTACACTTGAGCTTACCAATAAGATCTGTAGTCGAATTTTTATGTCTTATATAACTTGACAAAAAGTCCTAATAAAACCATTCATCTGTAAAAACTAGCGATATGAAAAGTGACGAATTGTGAAGCATGCAGAAAACAAGTGTAATGCCTATAATGACTTACCTAGAGTCCTTTCAAAAATCGGCTCACTGAAATTGCTTTCCCCGATGGAATTGTATGCTAATAGACTAAACTCGTATTCGGTGTCCATCTCCAGACCAGACACCGTCATATTGAACTGTTTTGGCGTTGGCACCTCTCGATAGGAAAAGCCTTCCTGTACTTTGTCGCGTGGCCGATAGCGCAATTTGAAGCTTTGCGCCAACCCACCGCTAAACCCTGGCTGCCAGCTAACTGTCATTGAATTGTAAGTTGCGTTACTGAGCGACACGAACCCCGGGATCTCAGGCGAACCTGTCAAATGAAATATAGACATACAAATATTATTGGTATACCAGGTGTGAGAATCACCATATCTTTACAATATATATGGTTACATCAGTCTGGTTCAGTACAAAAGTAACCGAAACCGTTACTTGTTTTTGTGCGGTTACAAGAAGTAACAAGGATGAACAAGTATTAAAAATTCAACCTAAAGAATTTTTCGTCACGTTTATAAATTCACATATTTTAATAATACCGTGATTGTACATTGAAGGCCAAACCTCCTGCCTACGTTTTTTTTGTGGTAATTTGCTATAGTCATGGGACCCATCTGCTTGCTTGTGCTGGTTGCCGAACATTAAGTCTACACATTCTATCGTCTTGCCTGCGATACATCTAAGTGAGCAAAATTACCTCTGACCCAGAAAAGAGATACGTGTTTCTTTTTGGCTTCTCGACTACTACCCGCAATCACCGAAAGCGCGAGACTGAGACATCAGCTCATTGTATTTGATCGCTTTGATTTTCCCGAGTGCACCGACGATGCCCAAATATCATTTCGAGACGACACTGAACAAAACAGTGGCCGCTGTCATTGGCTGGGCTGTGACGTAGTGGTATTTAGACTGCTGTCAAAGTCGTTGTCGCTTTCGCCCGTCAACCAACTTTATCTTCTCTTCCTTTATCTTTTTGTCTCTCTTAGCCGATTGCCGTTTATTCGATTCCACTCCAAAACGCTATTTCGCTACTCTACCGTGCCACAAACGGTAGCTCAGTCTCTGGCTGAGGGGTCGCAGCTTTTGGGTTTATCCTTATAGACCTACGCACAAACACGACGCCAAGCAGACTTCGCCTAAATGCACCAGTATACAGTCATCCCATAACTACAAAGCTCACTTAAGGCCGACCTGGATGCGAAGCCCTTTATCCGATCACCTCAGGCACCCAATTCCGCTATCCTCGCCAGTTTAGCCAGGAAGAGTTGGGTGTGACAAAAGTAGTAATCCTGCCCTGATGCTCCCCTTTTTCTTTGCTTCCTTCGGCCTCTGTGCGACGCGGTGGTCCGCAACACCGTGCTTGCGTTGCCGTTTTGGATAGCACGACAGCAGTAGCAGCAACGGCAACCGCGGATAAAACTGGTTATAGTACAGCAGAAGCGCGAACAAGCACTGGTAAAAGCGAGCAATTTCATAAATGTACTAGCACCACCATCAAACCCCGCCAAGACATACATTCGCGTTCACACATACGTACGTAACCATACAAGGGCGTACACACGCTTCTCTTTCTGTCCCGTCCTGCCCTCTTTGTGGTCGTATGTATTATCACTGGCGTTTTCCTGTTCATCCCCGAACTGCTAACCCCCGTAAAACACAACGCGTCATCCAGTTGCCACACGTTCTGATCATGAAATTGCGAACGTGTGCCTACGATTTGCTATTCGCTCAACTCTTTGTTATCCTGCACAGTTTGTGAGCTAATACTTAAGGTCCTTACGACCTTGATTGCTGGAAGCCGAGTGGTGTTCGAACAGAGTGTTAGGGTCTAAAGCTCTCTTTCGAGAGAACATTATTTTGGCGACGGCAGCGATAACCGTACCCATCTACAACGCTACTACTGCTTTCTGTGGTCGAAACGGGTTGCTGCAACGGGACCCAGTCACTTCGCACAGGAATGGCAGGAGCCGAAGCGGACGACGGGATCCAGGCATCGTGGCTATGCTGCTGTTCTAAGGGATACCGCCAAAAAGAATCGGCGTCAGCCGGCCACGTTAGCCTGTTCGATGGAACTGCGCGTTGGAAGCGGTGATGTCTTCATAGATCTGTATGTGTGCGTGTATGTGGGCAGTGAGAGAGATAAACACGAGGTAGGTGCTGTATAGACTCTGCTGTTGTTCAGGGCTAGCCCGCTGCAGAGGTTCAATGGCGGTATCGGTGCATTAGGTTTCCCCTCCCGTCGTCTCCTTCGATCTTTCTCGTTTGTGCCTTTTGCTGCCATTGCCATCGCTGCTAACACATACACAGTGGGGACATGTATATTTCGCTGTATGGGTGTGCATGATGATATTCGTACCTCGTCGTAGTCGTTGTATTCGATACATGGGTAAGCACCCGGCAACGTGGGCCGTTCGCACGCACCAGGGGAATGAGAACTACGTTTTGTCGAAAGGCGGCACGAGTCCAGGCAAGGCAAATGCTGCTGCTACCGCTGGTGTTGTTACCACGAAATCAACGTAGCAAACATCAGCGACGAAAAAAGCCTCACTGAGCTTCAGCAGCAGTAAAAGCGGCATCAATGATGTTGATGCTTCATAACCATCAAGAGAACGACGCTGATCTAGGCGAACTCGTCTAGGTCCCGTTTGCTCGCTTGCTTGCTCACTCTGTTCTTATACGGGTCTATCAGCCGTAATGCTATTGGAGAATACTCTCTACGAACAAGCCTACTGACGAGCAACAGTAGCAACGATGCTAAAAGCAGATATCGCTATCAGCTATGGAAGAGCATCTATACATCGGCACTTACTTTTACACATAAGCACACGTAAACAAGCCTCAGAGAGACTGTATAGCACAGTACGGATCGACACCCCTTAAAATAATATCACTCTAGAGAATGTCTAGCGTGTCGAATTTATAGCCTATTTTTTTCTTGGTACTAATACGTAGTCCGGCTGAACAACTCCATTAATAGACTATTGCACATATCGTCCATTTTAGCGTAGATCTTTACGAAACAGTAGATAGCCTTTCAATGTAAATATTATACAAACATATATACGTCTGTACCAGCCCATTGCTTCAAATATTTCTTTTTTTATTAAATAATGTCTCAAGAAGAAGTAGCATAGAAATGCGATGAAGGATGTCCGTTGTCTGTGGTGAATATAGGAACGTGGACAACATGAAGATTAGTTGAAGCACGTACCTTATCCATCCTGTTCTCGGACTGGGCAACCTTCGAAAGTGATTGTCTTCGCTACAAGCTTATAGGTAGGTCTAAAAGGCATATAAGTCTGGCTGCATGACTGCTTGCCCGTCTATGCACTGCACAAGAGGACATCTTCCCGTTCCGACAAAATTTAAACGAAGAACCAAAAGCAGTAGATGTGCAGAACAATGTCAAAGGGGGCTGGTACTTCGAGGTGGTCACCGTAGGAAAGTGGGTATGATGTGATTTGGGACGAGCTCATATGAGATGCTTCCAGGGGTTGGGGAAAAAGATGTAGATAAGGCGAGATTTATGAACCCCCTGGCCCATCATGAACTCTACACGTTTCCGTCGACATCAGCATCCAGCAACGGCCAACTACGCCGCGATAACACGCACTCCCTTACTTCGACTAGCGGACGCCGTCTCTAAGGCCGTCCTTTCAGCTTCGTTGCTGTCAGAGCCCTACCGGTCCATATAATCGTGTAAAATAGGCAAGGCAAAATGCACCCCGCTTTGCAGCGGTGACCGCAACGGCAATTCAGCGAACCAAACAACCAACTGTTCGGTCGTTTCAGTACCGCTAGCGATCATTGTGGTTAAAACTACAACTTCATGAAAAGCATAATTCTTTCCATTTGCTTGAATTCGTTCTATTTTTCAGCTTGAACAAGCTGTTAAACCAAATTGGCAACTATGTAATTTTGTACTATTCAGTGCAAAATAGTGCAAAGGGCAAGACCGCGTTACAAATTGCAAGCGCAACAACACGACACTCTCTTGATGTGCGTATGTATTAAATCATTTTGAATTCATAATAAAGGTCTTCATATTCGTAGAGCGTTACCATGGTTGCTTACACAACTTGATCACTAACTTAATAAGTTTGAAACTAAGACCCCGACTGGTGCTTAACGGCGATACCGGATATACAGCTTAAAACATTTATTAGATCATTGATTGGCCACTCACAATCCTCGTTTAGTAGAAAGAAAACCCTTGACCAAAGTATCGTCCTTTCCTAACAGAAATATTTGCAAATAAGCAGAACTTGGGCTAATATCAAAGCATAAAGACCATGCTCGCTGACGTTGTGAATACGTTATACAACAATACTTGCCACAATATGGTAGGAAAAACACATGTCTCGCCTGCTCATACATAAACATACATTGTGGTTGCTTTTTGTACGTTGCTGGCGAAAAATACGAAAGAAGAATGAGTAAGAAGCATAGGGAGCGCTTCGGGACGGAGGGTAAGCTTATAGTTAGGTCAAGCCAGTAAGCAGGCGAGAAGGAGATAGAAGGGGAAAAAGAGCAGTGCCCAAGGCCTAGCGTAGACTCGTTTCTAGCAGAGGCCGAACGACCAATCGGCTAATCAAAATTAATTGTGCTTCGTACAGTGTGGATATAGCAGAAGCCATATCTAGCCTTCTTCGTTTGGCTGCCAAACAGTATTTTGCTGACTAGGATTCCGGGAAGCTGAATCCAAGCAGCAGAACCAGTAAAGAAGAAGGGCAGGAACGCTGGGAAAGCAAATGGGACACAGGGTACATATTCCTCTCACTGCGAGCGGACGATGCGAACAACGAGGATGCGGAAGAAAACGAAGCAGCAGCGGCGATGGTGGTGGTTCTAGGGAAGCCAACATCAAGGGAAAATATGGCCCAAGCGAACATTTGGGGCTAACGACGATGTAACTATATGAGCTCATTTGGGAAAGATCCACTGGGTCTATGTACTACGTTCGACTAATCCAAATAGAAATCGCTCGAAACAGGCCAATAGTAAAGTAGACTGTATTTACCTCAATAGGTTAGTGGAAACGGTTCTCTGTGTTGTTTCAAAGAACCAACAAATTGTGTTTAATCAAAGCGCTCGATATTTAATTATGGGTCCGAATGACTAGTGCGTAGTTGTGTAGGTACGGCGTAGTTATAGACAACGTCATCCGTAATGTGTATCTAATTCAAGGTAAACGTAAGGCCATGAAATCTAGGAAGTAGGATTCTATGTTTTGTACGTGCAGCATGGTGTGTATATATAGCACACATGATAAGATAGTCATTTGACTTCTGAAACACGCAATTTGGCATGCCT